GTTCGACCTAAAACCATATTGGCAATCAGAGAGGATTTTATGTTTGTCAATAAATGTATCTAATCTGTATTTAAAGAGTTTTTCCAGAATTTTTGAAAATTGTGACAACAGAGAAACCGGTCTATAATTTGTGAAGTTGTGCTTATCACCAGATTTATACAGTGGAATAACCTTTGCTATTTTCGTATTATTGGGGAACTGCCCAAGTCGAAACGACATGTTAAAAACATGGGCTAATGGTTTGTATATCCCCTCAATTGTCATAGTGATACCATCACTATCACTAGATGTTTTATTACCACATTTGTTCACTATCTCTATAATTTCCTTTTCAACTATGGGCTTTAGAAACATAGAACTCATATTACTTTCGATTGTATTGTTATTTATAGTGACGGATGTATCATCTGTACAAATGCTTCTTGCTAAACCAGGACCAACATTCACAAAAACCAGGTTTCACTCACTATTCTCTGTAGAAACAAACCACAGGTGGAAATTCCCCAGGCAACCAGTAGTGCTTGTTCAGGTCTGTACTTTTCTAAGGGAGAGGAGATTGTGAATGTATAGCGATGAGTAATGGTTAAGCATTTGTAGGAAATACATATAATAATCCTTCTGTTATTCATACATTTTGTTTCCATTTCTGTATGAAAATGTGCTGTACAAATATACTTGCCTTACGCAGCATCCGGTATTTTGTTTCGTTTTATATCAGTTTTTAACATTATCGTATTAATGAAGTTATTTTGACTATTTTACCAGTAACATATTTGTATTCCAGGTGAACTTGGTGATGAATCTGGAAGGTAGTGACTTGCTAGCAGAGAAGGCAGACCGTCGAGAGTTTGTGGGCCTGCTGAAGAAGATGCTGTTGATTGATGCAGAGGAGAGGATTGCCCCCATTGAAGCTCTCAGCCACCCCTTTGTGACAATGCAACACCTGCTCGACTTTCCTCATAGCAACCAGTGAGATCACTTTGCCTTTGATTTTCAGGCATGTTGTCATTTTGATCTTGCTATATAACTACATAAATTTAACTCTACATGTTTCTCTTTTGCCCACAGTGTGAAGTCATGTTTCCACATCATGGATGTTTGCTGGACTCGTCCCAGTGCATATGAGGCGGTGAACAGAAATAAAGGTCCTTTTGTTAGACCTGTGACAACAACCGCTGCTGCCTCAGTCAACCATCCCTTCAACAAGATGGCCGGTGTTCACACACAAGTAAGTAATTCAGCATGTTTGCATCGTGATCAGCCATGTCTATCAGCATGCAGTAGGAGTTTTATCACAGTTACACACAGTCATCATCAGGTCAGGGAAAACAAATGAACCAACAGTATTTTATAATATTTGCTTTCTTGTTTCGTGAACTGGAATTGAAAAAATAGTGTGATTGTGTAATAACAAATGGTGAAGGTTACTGACGTGCAGTGTGTAATTCTGTTCATCTGCTCCTGTGAAGACTGGTCATGTAGACAATTTCCTCACCTTTATTGCTTTCGTGTTGCCGACTTGTCCATCTTATTGCATCTTAGCACTGCTGTCATGGCAACAAAATCACGTCATGCTTCTGAGGTCATGGCAACAGTGCAGATTCATGCTGTTGCTGAGGAGAAAAAAAAGAAGCTCACCTTTTTTGGCATGTATTTTTATAATGCAGAACAGGATAAAACCTGAAAACCAATTCTAACACATTACACACATAATATAATGGTCACTGCATACATTCTTCAGAAGGTATTCAGACTCTTTCACCTTTATGCTTACCTCAGTGTGCTGTTGATATAACAAGTTGATACATTTGCCATTTCTGCCACTCAGTATATACTAAATAACCTGTAATGACAAAGCAAAGCTATATTTTTTGAATGTTTTACAAATGTATTAAAAATCAAAAACTACAATCTTTGATTTACTAAAATATCCAGACCCTTCATTACTTTACCACTTTGGCAGCAATCCTGCTCTTCTTGGTTAAGTCTTTACAAGCTTTGCAGGCTTTGGGTGGGACAAGTCTATCGACTGCCATCTTCAGGTCTCTCCACAGATGTTCTGTGGGGTTTGGCTGGATCACTAAGGGACTGTTGGAAACTTGTCCTGAAGCCACTTCAGTATTGTCTTCATGTCATTGTTGTGCTGAAAGGTGAAGCATTGCCCTAGTCATAGGATGCTGCACTCTGCAGCAGGTTTTCTTCAAGGACCTTTGTATTCGGCTGCATTCATCCTGCCATCTGTTTTGACCTGTCTACCTGTACCCGCTATTCACTGTAGTGATGGTATTATTCAGGTGATGAGCAGTGCCTGGATTTCAGACATAGTGCTTGGAGTTCTGGTTTTATCTCATCAGACCAAAGAATATTTTCTCCTCCTGCTCTCAGAGTCCTTTAAATGCTGTTTGGCAAATTCCAAGCAGGCTGAAGTGCCAATATGTGTTTCATCATTATACATTAATGATCAGGTTTTCTCACTCCTATTGAGATTTGAAAAACTGATGAATGAATACTGACATTGCACATTAAAACTACTCACTGTATTTTGTTTTGTTTTGTTTTTTCTTGTTCTGGAGATTTTTTTTTTTTTTTTACTTGTGGCTTTTTTGTAATATTCTCTGAAAGGCTGCTTGGTGTTTACTACCATGCATATGGTGGCTGGGCTAGATGCATGCACAGAACAGTATAGGCTAGTTCTTGTTACTCAGTAAATATGATTATAGCCAAGCATGAGAGCATCATGAGTAGTGAAGCAGAGCCACATGCTCGACTGTTCTTTGTATCCCTCAGGCCTGTCACAGAGTAAGGTCAACAGGTTTGACGACCTTTTTCTTATTCAGCTTTAAAAGAAATCTAACCTTGGTTAGCCTGCATAAATTGGTCTCATAAAGATGGTTATCAGACCAAGATTTGTGCTGGTCTATCACAAGTGAGCCGCTGTCTTTCAACTGAAATGCCAGGCTTTTGCCCAGGGTTAAATGACTAGCAAACTAATATCTTTCTAGACACATTCCTGGGCTCTCCCTAGCTGAAAACCAGACCATATTGCCATCTTTTAGCTCTTTAATACTGCCGTTCATCATAATTTTAATAACCTCAGATAACTCCAGTCATACTTGTTTTTCCTTTTTTAGGGGTTAGCCCCATCAGCCCCCTCTGTAATGCACCCTGGAATACCACTGCAGACAGGAAGTGGTCAGTTTGGATGCAACGATTCATTTCAGCAGGCCCTCATTCTGTGTCCCCCAACTATTCAAGGTAGGATGTGTAAATGTTTTTCATTTGTTTATTACTCTCCTGGTGGTAAGGCTAAATATTGCAAAGTCAAATAATTTCCTGTTCATTATCCCTGCAGGAATCCCCAACAACGCAGCCAAGCCAGCAGGCTACTCTGTTCGAATGGAGGCGTCTGTGCCTCTGGTCACTCAAGCACCCCCCATCCAGCCTATACAAATCAGACCTGGAGTCATCACACAGGTAAGGGGGTAGCAGGGATAGGAATGATAGGCCAGATGACAACTTAAGTGACAGCTTGGCTTCACTAGTAACTATCGTTGTGAGGGTGAGTTTAGGTATTTGTTAGGATAAAACTTTGGGTTAGGTATTTTTTCATTGTTATGCGGAACATGAAGTGACACACTTGTGCTGACTAGAAGCCATAACAAATTGAGGCAAGTCAAAAAAAAAAACAAACAAACCATGGAATCTGATAGAAAGGTGAACAGCAGAGAGTGAAACATCTTCACTTCATGGTGATCTTAATGTTAGTTTGGCCACACTGAACCCAAAATGAGTTTTAATGTATTGACCTTTTCAGTGCTTATGGTAAGAAAATGTGGGCACCGTCTCCCAGTAGCAACTTTTGACTGTAAATCAAAAACTCTGCAGAAAGGATATTTTGAATATTAATTTGAATTATTATGCTGAGCTTGACAATTAATTCCCTGACCTTGACTGTGTAAAATCATGACTTAATGAAATGAACACCCATAAAATCACTTTGATTATTATGTTCAGTCAGTAGAGAAAGTTTTCAGAGCTTTTCAAGTTTTTGACATTTTGTTACATTTGAGTCGCCTTAAAATGGATTCATTTGTTTTTCTCAACAGTCTACACTAGGGTTGAAACAATATGAGATTTTCACTGTATAACTGTTTTCAGAAAATATCACAGTTTCACTGTATTACAGTATATGGTATTACTATTATCAGCTACAACAACTCTTGAAGGTTAAAGGAATGAAAACAAAAGTGTCTGTTATAAGTGACTGTGCCAGAAACCTATTTTAACTTGATCATTGTGGAGTATTTTGAGTAGATTGATGAGGAAAAAGTGAAATGAATCCATTTTAGGATGTCAGAACCATAACAAAATGTGGAAAACTTGAAAGGGTTTGAATAATTTTCATACTGACTGTATGGTGTCTTGCTATATGGGCTCTTTGGGACAATATTCAGTTAGTGATATTTCATGTCTTCCCTTTGTGTAATTCAAAAGCAGAGACATCATGTTCTTTCATATGAAATTATATTTTCTCAAATTAACAGTCATTGATAATGGGCTGATTAAGATCAGTATCATATCGCTGGTTCATGTGCCACCTGCACTCCATTTAAGAGGGTTTCCCCATCTTGTGTCACTGTATGGGTTAAGTTCAGATTTTATCTTTTTATGTGTAAGTTGATGAATACATCATTTGAAGGAACATTACTAGATGCTTTGCTTCTCTGCACATTAACAGGCCTGGTCCAACCGTGCACAGCAGATTTTGGTACCCACTTGGCAGCAGGTAACATCAGTGCCCCCACCACCAACCACGCTGGCATCTGAAACTGTGGCAGGCTCACAGAGATTGGGTGACTGGGGGTAAGCAATTTGTCTGTTTCAGAGAGTTACAGCACTTTTTTTCTTAAACACATTATCTGTCTTTGTAGTTTCAATATGTGCTTTAGTGCTTTGCTGTACACACCCTTGGGAATGGATGTATTGCTCTGATACAGCACGCAGCATGCTTGTTCCCCTGAATGTTAATGATTGATGACTCATACATGCCCTCTGTGACCAGCCAGTGAGACCATTTTGTCAGGCTAAAGGCTTTTGGCCCAATTTGCAATGTTCTTTTTTTTCTCAATGCAGGAAAGTGCGTCCTCATGGTAACCATTACAGCTCCATGATTGCACACCCTCAGCCATTCCTAGCCAACCAAATAACAATGTCCACCCACCAGCCAATCAACATAGGCATTGCACATGTGGTGTGGCCACAGCCAGCTGCCAATAAGAGAGCTAGGCCTTGTGTGAACAGGTATGACACTTGGGTTTGCCTTAAGGCACGTGTACTGTACATACACTGCTGGTTGTTTCCCCTTTCTGAATATGACATGCTTTCGTCCATAGGGGCAGTAACTTCTCCCAAAACATGAACATCCAAAATTTATCATGCCAGTCCCCAAAGATGGCCGATACAGCAAAGAATGTGGAGGAGGTAGATGAGGAGAAAGCCAGATGCCCAGAGGAAGGGAACGCTGTTGGAGAGGTGCAAAGAACAGAGCAGGTGGAGGGCAACTGCTGTAAGGTGGAGCCACACAGAGAGGAGCTTTCAGTTTCACAGGAGCTGCGCCAGGCCATGGTGATCTCTGACCTTGTTAGCCCGACTGTTAGTGTCATCAGTATCAGTAGTGACGAGGAGGAGAGCCCACAAAGACATTCGATGGGGGAGTGAGTACTAAGACTCCTTTATATTATATTTCTCACTTGGTTCTAAAATACCAGCATCTAATTAGTTGCTTTGATTTTTCTGTCTTTCTGCACACCAGATGTAAGGGTAGTGCAGATTGTGAGGCATGTCAGAGCACTGTTAGTATGGAGAGAGTCTGTTCCCTCAGTAGTCCAGACAGCACACTCAGCACCAGCTCCTCAGCCTCAGCCCAATCCAGCACCTCACCCTGCAAGCACCCAAACAGGTTTGGTTAACACAGCTGATTTAAACAAAGCTCCTACAAATGTTTTGCTTGGTCAGTACATCACCACCAAAGGCATAACTGTAACTTCTTCCTAACTGGTCACCCTTTGCAGTATGTCAGACGACGAACAGGAGAGTGGTTGTGACACAGTGGACAGCTCGCCTGCCTCAGACACCTCTGGCCATAGCAACAGTCCCTTCTCAGAGCGACGCTATGTCGCTGACAGCAACCAGAACTGTGAGCCCCGTGTTGCTTGTGTTGCCCCGGAGACCGAGCCCAGCAAGCCAACGGTTCGTACCGTTGTGGTGCCTCCAATGAGGGTGCAGAACAACAACAACAACAACCCCGCTGTCAGTGAAACACCTGGCAACACAGGTAAAACAAGATATATGATCCGCTGGTAACAGATGCATACATTCCTTATTTAACTCTGACTTTGAGTTGACATATTGCTGTATACTAGGTGTCAAGCCTAAACCCAGTTGTTAAGTGACTCATGTCAACTCTGATGGTGTTAATGACACAGAAAACCAGCAAGTGTATGAGTAGGTCATGCTGGTTCAAAGATCCAGTCACCACTGCTGCTGTCTGCTCTGCAGGTCACATGGCATGGGATTACACTGTCTTAGTAGGCCACAGAGGTTCTCACAGGTGATTATGGGTGACCTGCCCTGATGTATATGCTCTAATCTCTGAAGTGATTATTTCTTTGCTGTCAACACTCCTTACTCTGACTCCAGACTGACTCTGAGTGCCCCTGTATCTGTGGGGATGTGCACTTTGTAAAGCTACATGAGACATGCGTAATTTCCACAAACTATTTAGTGCCGTGAATAAATTGTTCAAAACATGGATAGCAACCAGAAAGCTTGAATATTTTTCTGGTTGTCTAAGGCACAATGATGTTAGCTGAATGCTTCTTTTGGGTGTTGAAATTGAGTTACGCATGCTATATGTAGGCTTTAAAACAGCTGTGATGAGTGGGACATCACTGTCTTTGTTTCCGCAACTGCTCTGATTTTAGACTGATCCGTTTATAGATCTTTTAAAGTGGAAGACTAAATCCTCAAAAAAAAAAAAGACTAATTTTGCCTTTTACACAGAGGCATCTCCCTCTCCAGTCCTCAAACTATTGCTACCAAAGTCCCACATAAAAGGGAACATCATGCTAATCTAGTACTACCGGGCATATTTATAGCCAGTGGTGTATAAGCTCAATGAACAAGCTTAGTTACAAACCCCTCCCAGATCCCCCAAATATTTCTATTTATAACCATGTAGATCATATTCAGAGGACAGATGCCAGATCAAACAGCTGAAATCACTGACAAGCCTACAAAGCTCCTGCCACAAATATTGCTATTTTTGAGTTGTAGTTGAATCTATCTGTGGCTGCACTCTTTTGCCTGTTATTTATATTGTGATATTAATAGTGGGATATCAAACTTTATTAATTAACATTTCCTCTCCATCTCTCTGTGTTTTGCTGTCCATCCCTTTTTACATGACTTCCTACCTCAGTCTTAGAGCCTTCATGCCAGTCCAAAGGGCGAGCCATTCCTGGGCGACATCACCACTCCACTCCCCTCCTCAACAGGCCACAGAAGATCGCCCCTGCATTCCAGCCCCAGCAACAGCAGCCTATGGGTTTTGGGCAGGTAAACACACACACATACAAAGAGGTTCTTACGAAGGGGGACCGGAGGGTGTGTCCCAACTATAGGGGGATCACACTCCGTAGCCTCCCCGGGAAGGTCTATGCCAGGGTACTGGAGAGGAGAATTCGACCGATAGTCGAACCTCGGATTCAGGAGGAACAATGCGGTTTTCGTCCTGGCCATGGAACCCTGGACCAGCTCTATACCCTCTTCAGGGTGGCAGAGGGTTCATGGGAGTTTGCCCAACCAGTCCACATGTGTTTTGTGGATCTGGAGAAGGCATTCGACCATGTCCCTCGCAGCGCCCTGTGGGGGGTGCTCCGGGAGTACGGGGTCTGGGGCCCTTTGCTAAGGGCCGTCCGGTCCCTGTAC